TCATTAATTGCTAACGTCAATTTATAAAATAAAACTTTTCTGAACTGAAAGTAATTTGAAAAAAATACACGGAAGACTTTTCTGTGAAACACATTAAAATCTAAACAAACTTTAACTTTTATAAATGTTATATAGCTAATGAAAGGTCTATGTTCTACTAACCATCTTGTTTCTGGTTCTTTCAGTGAAACACACTTGGGTAATAAATTATACAAGATTTTTACATATTTATCAGTGGTAAAGTTGTTTAAATACATGCTTTCCTTCCGTGTGTATGTTCTATCCTGGTACTTCCACCAATAGAAACTGGCCACCATTATTCATCGTTAAGTGAAACGAAACACGAACTATCAACATTATTCATCCTAAATCCACTTCACATATGGATAATTTCTAAATAAATCAGAATCACAGCTTAACATGTTTAACCGTGTGATAAGAAGAAAATTATGATATAATATTGAGTGATATATAACTTTACTATGAAAGAAGAATGATGGGTAAACATTGTAACAGATGTTCGCAGTAATCAGGAAAGTAGATTGAGTACAGTGAGGGCGTCAGTCACCTCAAAAACCGATTCTTGATAGGATCGTCCATGCTGTACTGGTCGATGGGTCAAGGATAGAATAACGCTATATGCACATCTAATTGAGTTATCCAATGTTTGAAATAAAAATTGCATTCAAACCCATTTACCGTGAGTTTTGACCTGTGTCGATGGAGGACTTGATCTTAGCGAGTTACCTATGTTGTTGTGCTATTGTCCCATTTCCTGCTTTAGGTCCTTCACACGAGACGATTAAATCGCATGGTAGAGCTTAGCCTATATTTCATTTTATTGCATTTGCATTATGAAATTTGAAATATTGCTATAAAGAATTACATTGTTCATGGGTAAATCAAAAGTTGAGTAACCCCTGTCAAAAATGTCTTCTCTTGTATCCATGCAAGTTAACTGTCCTTGCGTCGATGGTAATAGACCCAGATTTATGTTAAATATTTTATAGGACGTATGTAATTGATCGACAAAATCTTATCTTGTGGGGAATGGGAATAGCACCCCAATACAGATGACAGCAAAGCGTAAAATGTATTCCCCATTCATTCTTATTTCTTGAATTGAGATAACGAAAAGTAAAAAGCAGTTGGATGATTTAAGTTACGAAGACGTTAGTGGGTTGGTTCTATTTACGAAGAAGAACGTCTTACATATTCAAACATATTTATACATACAAACGGGCCTTGATAAATTGTGTTTCCACTAACAACATGATCGGTTCCAATTTTACTACAATGGACCAAGGTATCAACGTCTTAAAAAAGGTTAATCTTTTGAAACTAACTGACATCCGGGTCTCCTAACACTAAAATCAACAGTAGTCATGGCATTATTTGAGAAACAAAACAAAAAGACAAAATACTTATATATATACTGTTAAGATGAAAACACATACATAAGCTCAGCGAATTTAGAGATTCCAACTCTATACCGACTTATCTTTATTCAAAACTCGCAAGGAGCTTTCTTCTCAAGGAATCTGCGATGTAAAACGATTTTCCAAGAAAGGCAATAAAACAGTTGCCAACTGAAATACTTACCTTCGAAAAAATTCTTCTCAAAATGTATCCATAAAGGCAAAAGTAGTATACCGCTATTCAAAAGTCATAAATCAATTAAACGAAAACAAATCCAGGTCACAAACCAAAACCGAGGGAAACACATCTGTGTTGGTCCTTTCTTTTTTTAACATGATCCATATGTTTTAGCTATTTTTGAATGATTTAAATGCCGTGTTAACTATCCTGTAGAGGAAAATGTTTCGTGTAGTCGGATTATTAACAACTTTTGTGAGAGACAAAGTTCACAAACAGAAGCTATCTGTTGATCCTTAGAAATTTTAATATAATGTAGTCAATTCACCCGTCCATCAACCTTTCGTATGATAACTAAAATATGCCTTAACCAATGCTCGTGATATATCAACAGAACATTGGGAGTAAGCATTTTGATTTTGTTAAGTGTGTCGTTCGTGTCATAAGTACCCGAACTGTCTAGGGACTGTATAGTGGTTGTCGTTTATTTTATTTTTATTAGTTTGCTATAAATTATAATTGTTTTTTTCGTTTGTTTTTTCTTTCTTTGTTTTGTAAAAAGATCAGGCCATTTTTAAAGCTTCTTATACAGTGTGGGTTTTATTCAATGTTGAAGGGCGTACGGTGTCCTACAGTTGGTAACATCTAGTACGTCGTTTGGGCTCTGGTGGATAGTTTTCTCAATGGCATGCACACTACATCCCGTAGTTTTAACGGACTTTTACTGTCAGATTTAAGGCATTTTTTTTCAAATTTTACACCTCAAGTTTGCTTCTATCAATTCAACTTAAACTGAAAGCTGTTGTTTTGATCAATAAAAGTTAGTTGCTTTTGACACTTTTTCTTTATGTGTCGTTCTCATCAATTTCAGTATAACTTTATTACTCATCTCAATTAATGCTGTAAATGAGATTTTTTTAAAGAAAACTTCCTTCACCTTTTTAGTATTTTCTGGTTTGTCCAGATTTAAGTACATCTTTCACAATGTTGAACACTAATTTGTATTTTTTATATAGATGTGCATACTATGTGTTTCTTTATTCTACATTGGCTAGAGGTATACGGGGAGGGTTGAGATCTCACAAAACATGTTTAACCCCGTCGCATTTTTGCGCCTGGCCCAAGTCAGGAGCCTCTGGCTTTTGTTAGTCTTGTATGTTTTTTAAATTTTAGTTCCTTTATATGTTTTGGAGTTTAGTGTGACGTTCATTTTCACTGAACCAGTACACAATTTTATTTAGGGGCCAGCTTAGGACCACCTCCGGGTGCGGGATCTTCTCGCTGTGTTGAAGACCCATTGGTGGACTTCGGCTGTTATCTACTCTTTGATCGGGTTGTTGTCTCTTTGACATATTCTCCATTTCCATTCTCAATTTTATGTAATTAACACTTTCCACAATTGTTGAAATTGGTGAATGAAAGGTACTTTTTAGTTTTGAAAATTTTCGCATTTTTAATCCGGAATTATTGGCTTTAATTGTAATATCTAAGGTGACTTTTTTTTTAAATTATCATTGACTAGGTGTTGTATGTTTTTAACAAATACTACTTTAAATATCTAGAAAATATAATCATTCCCCATATGACAGTTGTTATCCTTTCGTTTGATGTGTTTGGTTTTTTTTTATTTTGCCATTTGATTGGGGACTTTCCTTTTTGAATTTTCCTCGGAGTTCAGTATTTTTGTGATTTTACTTTTTAAACTTTTCACCGTTGTAGGGATCAGTGAATGTAGGCTCCCGTTTTTTTTTAAATGTTCTTGTCTGGATATTCCAGAGTTCTAAGACTTTGAACAGACATATGTTCGGCAATATATAAATGCATTACTGACTTCTGATTAAAAACCTTCAAAATATTCCAATTTGTTCTTGCAACAACTTTAAACTACAAAAGATTAACTTATCATGCGCTAATTTTAGACATTTTAACACTTTTTTGATATGTAGCCGAGGCTAAAATATGAACAAGATAGGATGACAGTTAAGTAATGCCGTGGTAATATGGAATGATCTAAACTAAATGATGGTTACATAATGATAGCAAGCACAAGCAAGGAAATCATGCATTAAACTTTCGAAACTGTGCGTCACCAGTGTTGTTGTCTGTGTCTTGGTGCAGTTAAAGAGTCTTCAGTGTCCTACATACGTTAGATATTTGGAATTTACTATGTTGTAAGCTTTTTCCGTAAATCTGCCTATAATTCTTGTCATTATCCAACAATGAAGATACTTGTTTATACATGAAAATAATTCATCCAAGGGGAATTGGTTAGCAACTGCATCTTAATACATCTTAACTAAATTCCATTGCTTGAATACAGACTTATAAATGCCTTTAACCAGAAATGACATTTGACTCCCTGAAAATAATCATGCTGTGACTTTCTATTCTGTGAAAATAAATAATCGAACCATATACACTGATGGACCAAAAGATGGAAATAGAGTTGCATGCGCTGCTGCCTATCGAGAACAAGCGGAAAACATCTGCTTACCTCAATTTTAAGTACAGAAGCAAATCAATAATTTTGGACTATTACTACTGATGATAAATCAAAATTTAATATTTGGCCCACTATCATCAAGCCATACACAAGATCAACTATAGAAACTCGATAATATTCAAGATGATATACGGTTACAGGAACTATAACATTTTGTTAGCCAAGTTATACATTATTGAAGATCACGAGACCTAGCTGTCGTTGCAATTATCTGAATGTTTTTACCGTACACTGATTCAAGACCTCCCATATGATAATATATTTATTATGCATGGAATAGTAATTGATCAGAGTGAATTTCCATCCAATAAAACTCTATATTGGAAACACTCTAACCTAAACATTAGCACATGCAAATATTTTTAAAAAATCACCTGCTACCTGAATGTGGTAGTTTTCAGAATATAATTAAATTCAGGAACAGGTTTAATAATAATGTATTTATTTTGTGATATTATTTTTCAGTTTGGAAATATGTCTAACATTTAATACTCTCTTTTTTATATTTGTAATTGAATGTAACTGGAGATCCATTTTTTAGTTGTTTTTCTTTGGACGGACACAAAATTTCATCGACAATGAAGATCTAGCGGATAGAGCAAATGTTTCTGTGCGAATTGTGTGTATCTTTTAATTTTCAAATCTGTTCATGTATTGCATGTAATTTTTTGTTTATGTAAACACGTTTGAAACATTTTGTTTTTCTTTTGAAATAGTAAAATTGCTTATATATTATTTTCAAGTAATCAGGCTATTTATGGACGACATCCTATTTTGGCCGGTGTCAGGAAATCAATCTTTGGAATAACAAAACCAAATCTTCAATTGGCAAATAGACTTTTGTGTATCTCAATGATTTATTATATTTGAAAATAATGAATACTGTTAAAAGTGGTGTTGTATTCAGAGTAAGTGATATAAAAAGTATAAATAACCATTCTGACTACTTAGTCATGTAAGTAAACAGTTAGTTTGTATCATCAATTCTTTAATAAAACACATCATAATTTAATTTTCTTTGGCGCCTGCATGATATAAATATTGAATCACATTGCATTGTTTATTCCTAATCATAATCACTCATGCAAGTGTTAAATATCCTTTGATATCACTCTTAGAACATAATTACATATCATTTATCATTGAATGTTTCAGTATGAGCTGTCGAATTCTTCTCATATGTTTTGTGTTTCAACGTCCAAGCATTCTATAATCTTTAGTTCCAAGTAAAGCTGATATATCGATTGATGACTACTGAACAGCGGCCTTTATCTCTAGGTATATAAATTATGTTAACACTGCAAAAACTGACGAAATGGTCATTTATTATATCTTTGAAATATTTTTATAAAAAAATGCTATCCAACGACTGGATCCTCCAACCTGAAAAAGACATGAACAAAATGTGATAAATTAAATAAATTTTAAAAAATCAACACTGGTATAATACTTTCTACTTTTATAAGCTATCTTCAACATATAGCATTTTACGAAAATAAATTCATATTAGATTTAAAGATTAATTTTACATATGTATATGAACAGATAAGGATTATGAAATTGCTAACAATAAATGTGAGTATTCTCTGGTATTTATATTTAAAATTTCATTAACATAAAAATGATTTTGTATAATGCTTATGATTTTAAACTAAACTATTGTTACATTCATAAACTGTAAAACGGTTACAGATAATCTTTACACAAAAACCGAAAGAAAACAGATTATAAATATAAATCAATTGAAATATAAATCAATTGCTTTAAAAAAGCAATTATAAACGGTCTTTCCCCTTTCGAAACATGATTGATTTCTTTGTTTGTTTGTTTTATTTGTTCAATGAATGTCTTAACGTCTACCAGTCAATTGTTGTTCACATTACAAGAAGAAATATAAACGCGAGTAAAAGAACGAAACAGGTCAAATGTTTCCCCTAAATAAAAAGAGGGGCGGGTCCCAAGTTCACATTTTCATATAAGGGTCCACATCATTGATTAAGTTAAGTTTCTATATTTAGATTGAAAAGTTTTTATTCTATTTTAGGTCCCGAGCGCGTCTCTCGCCCCAGATTGTGACGTCACGAGGCTTGTTTATATGAGCGAAAATTTTTATCTTTTAAGGTGGAGATGTTGAACAGACAACATGTATATCGACGGAATAACACTTAACGTATTTCTTTTGTCACTGTAGGTAATTGATGTGTTGATCGGAGTTCACGGGCAGAGCATGTTTTTGATTTATTTTATCTTGTGTACTCTTAAAACACGTTTATCGACTATTTTCATACAATGTTCATATTTCAGCAGCAGTTTGGAACACAGATTTGTATTTTAATCTAGCAGGAGACATTTTAATGTAGGATTTCACTGATATTTACGGAGCTTGAAAGCGATTTTTACGGCATTGAAAATTGCTTTCTCTGTGAAAATTCTTGGGAGGTAGCTGCACAGCGTTGTTATAACTAGATGGAATATATGTAAATCCTGGTGGGTGAAAAGTTTGATGTCAATTAGACACGTAGTTTCAGTGAAGTAGCGCTCACAAGAACTTGGTCCATGTTTTCCGAGAAGAATTGTAATAACAATATTAAAAACCAATTGAAGGTCTGTCCGTCCAAATTCACTAGAGATATGAAAATTTGGATAAAAAAAGTATGTCAGGTCTTTAAATGATTTTGATAGCTTACCACAAACAGATTTTGAAAATACAATGTTCAAGTCATTTTTTTTTCGTCAATTAAAGGAGATAATAAGCCACTTACGATTGAATCAAAGTCACTTTACGCTGATTCTAAATATATATATGCTTTCAATAAGGGAGATAAGTTGCTACTTACGTTCTGAAAAAAGGTCACTTTTGGTTGACATTTGCAAGGTCATATGTCTACTAACCAAATGCAAAAGATCCCATGGCTTAATCATGTATAAATATGCATTTATAGCAAAGGTCAAAATCTAGAACGTCAATTGTACCTTTAACCTTGAACTTAATTTCATGGTCATAATGCAAGGACCTTATATCAAATGATTCGTAGTCTCCACTATATAAGGGAAGTTAGTTTTATCCCATTAAAGCTAATTTTGAGTATTAGAGGGGAGGAAACTCCCATCAAATGTCCATGAACCCTTTTAACCAACATATGTATGTTACGACATGTCGCAAAAAACAGTTTAGTAAAAGTATTTTCTCGATATCTTATATGGTTTCTGAAAAGAGCAATTTTAAGCCAAAATCAAAATTTAGAACCTAACCTTGACCTTGACCTAATTTTCTTTTTGGTGGACCAAAGACCTCATTAAAAGACCCTAGGTCTCTATCACTAATGGTTTACCAGTTACAATTACATTACAATTATTTTAAATACAGAATGGGAAATAACTGTCATATGGAGTCTCCGGACCGCTTCTCTCAACATTGTTCTTAAGATCATAAGGATAAAACACGTAAATTGGTGAAAAAATTTTCTCGTCATCTTTTATGGTTGCGAAGTAGACGCGCACACAAGAAAAACAGTGTATTTGGGATATAACTCTTACAATAAAAAGTGTAAACAGTTAAACAGGGTCAGTTTCAAAAGCGCAATAACTGTTCGATATAATATGCCAAAAATCTACGCGACAGCTTGCGAAACCAATATACACAGCAACAATACAAGATAATAATCAGAATAAAACCAATAGGTCTTTCCACGGAAAAAGTGGAAAGACCTAAAAAAATGTTTAAAAGCTTGATTTACTAAACAAAGAATTTTATTTGAAATGTTTTGTTTTCCTTTTCTTTGTAAAGAATTCTGTAAGTTCAGAAATTTTTTGCTTTTTTTTATTATTTTGATAATTTGACAATTATGTGATATAATTTATTGCTATTTCAGAAAATGTTGCAAATAATTGCTATCAAAATTTATAACGGAAGTCTTTTTTTTATTTTGCAAAAGATCCAGTCGCAATTTCCGAAAAAAATAAAATAATAGAAACAATTGAGAATTAACAGTATTTGTAAGATCATGAAGACCTTACATATATCCGAATGAAAATTAAAAAAAAATGGTATGCAGACAAATGAATTCGAAAATACGTTAACCTTCACTTAGAATAAATCTTTGCGCAACATTTTTTTGGAATCGAGAGTGATATTAGATATTATGGGTTGGTAGTTATATCCCCTTAATAACATCGGTTTAATCTAAAGGCAACTAAAGAACTTAAACATCTATTTAAATTTAGAATGAAAACAAATATACATTTACTTACTCTTTTTCACAAATGTATTTGTTATGATCGCTGCAATGGGCATCATTCCAGAATGTTTTGTAGCCTCCGCCTGTCACCAGGCAGTCTTCTCCGCCATCATTATTAGGTTCTCCTGGATACCAGTTTGAATAATCTAAAGCATCACCAGTTGAAGCCCATTCCCATTGTCCTTCAGAAAATTCATCTGTTCCATCCAACCAAAAATATCCTGTACAGCAGTAAATATTGAAATTCTGTTTATGGTTTTAATTCATTAAATTTGTATTTAATGCATTTGATATGTTCCGGACCATTTGAGTATTGACCATGTGGGTCAATTCATATTGTCCGACCATACGGGTACTCTTTTGGTTATATACGGGCTTGACTATATTAGTAATTATACCACATGAAATTTTTCGATTATAATTCTATAAATACTATATATAAAAGAATCCTAATATGACTCTAGTCCGCGTAATTGCTAATATTTAACTACAAAATATTAATTCACGCTGCATTTATTTCAAAACTGTTTATATGCACATATGGAAATGATTTGTCTTTATTTACTTTTCAATAGTAAACCATAAATGATTAATTAAAAAATATCATTGACTTTTGATATTCTGTTTTATGTCTTCCCAAAGAAATTAAGGACAACAAAAACACTGCGATATGTTAATTTTCGTTGACGTTCATGTGCAAAAAAATATGTTTGAAAAAAATGCAGAGGGCGTATGTTTAATGCAGTTAACCCTCTTTGAATATACTTTAGAGTTCGGTATTTTTGTTAATACTTTTTTCATAATTAAAGGATATTGTTTTATTGTAGCTATTTAATAGTTTCATTGCAGCTTTGTAATTGTTTCATTGTAGCTATGTAAAGTACAAAGTATGATGTTTCCCACCTCCCAGTTTAGTCATGATAGAATATATGAACGCATTTTCGTCCAATGTCTCTACGACAGCAAGTTCTGCATGATGTGCCTGACAAGAAGCCTGTAAAATATACGAAAATAATGATTGCAATACATGTAATACTAATTATTATATTTAATTCATTAATCATGATAATACTGAGGAGTGATAGCAACGATATTGACAAAAAAAAAACTCTTTTACGATGTAATGTATGACAAGTTAAAATGTCAATTATTGGAACCCAATTAGGTATTTGAGTCTAAATATTTGTATAAGACATCTATCACCAAATAAAACTAATGAAAACAATATTATATACTTTAAGACTTTTAAGTATGAAAATATTAAACTGAATAATCTTCAAGATATTGGAAAAAAGGATTATTTCGACGACAGAGATGCACAACGACATACACAACATGCACAACGTAAATATTCAAGAACTTGATACAATCACTGCAAACAAACTATTTGAGAGAAATATACTTTTTATTAGATCACTCTTCAAAACGGAAAAAATAATAGACTAGTTAACATCGATAATGTAGTTCAGCTGAAAGTGAATCACCACGACTTTTATGGAGATTAGGAATAATAGAAGACGTTATCAAAGGAGATGCTGGTGTTATTCGTGCAGTAAAAGTCAAACTTCAAGAGGATTAGTTACCACGCGACCGATTGTGAAGTTATATCCTTAAGAACTATAGTTACTGATGAATGAAGAACTGTTAAGTGGCTTTTGTGGAGGACAGTTAACGTAATGTGATATTTTGCAAAAACTTTCAATTTGATCTTTTTATAGAACTTTATTTGTATTGATTATTTATCATCTACAAAAGTTAATATCTTTTTTATTTTGAGGCCCCAGAATGTAGTGAATATGAGTCGATGTTTTGTTATGTTATTGTTTCCCGGACGTTTGCGCACACTATTGTAATGTAAAGTAATACTATTGTTACGTTTCTATGAATCTATAGAATCATTAAGCATCTCAACTAGAAAAACATTTTTTTCTTAACACAAGTCAAACAAGTTAACAAGAAAGGAATGTAACAGGATGCTGTTACGAAGTCTCCCAAACGAAGCTCCAATAATTCGTAATTCCTAGGGTCGCCGGACATTGGGCAAAGTCCAGTAAAAATTGGTTTGGTCCAGTAAAGTTATATGCATTAGTGATGCCTGCGGACTAACCCTGTATATCATTCAAATCATCTGGACATGACAAACCACACTATATATGGTTTAGGGGTGGGGATATCGACCATTTACAAGATAATAGAACATTCTAAAATGGCAGGGGGTCGGGTTGACCCCCTGGGGACTAACCCTGTATATCATTCAAACCACCTTTGCATGACAAACCAGAATATATATGGTTTAGGGGTGCGGATCTTGACCACTTATCAGATATTAGAACTTTCTTGAATGGCAGAGGTGGGGGTGACCCCTGGGGAGTAACCCTGTATTTCATTTGATGTGCTTTATCAGAATTTATATGGTTTAGGGCTGGGGATCTCGACCATTTACAACATAATAGAATTTTCTCAAATGGCAGGTAGTCGGGATGACCCTTGGTGACTAACCCTGTATATTCAAACCATCTTAGCATGACAAACCAGAATATATATGGTTTAGGGGGGGGGGGGGGGTATCTCGACCACTTACAATATATTAGAACGTTCTTAAATGGGGACTAACCTTGTATTTCATTTAATGTGCTTTATCATTTAGAACATTTTCAATTAAAAAAATTGTGTCTATCACAAACGGTTTTCAACTTATAAACATTTGAAAATTAAAAAAAAAAAATAAAATCCCATAGGGTTCTCTAGTAAAACCCTTCTTTCTTTTTGTCCCTCAAAGTACCCCTTTATAAACCCAATTGCACAAAACCCTGATTGCACCACTAGACATGCTAGTCTAGCATATTGTGGAACCCTAAGTTAATCAGCCAAGCGGTTTTAGAGAACAAGTGCGGACAAGTTCAAATTTAAAAGCGGCGAAAAAGGAAGAAGAAGAAGAATAATAATAACTAGATTTGTAATTGCTAGCAATAACGGATGGCACCCTCGTTCCCCAATTGCCAGGGTAACGGCAGCCATTTTGAAAATTCCAAAGTCAAACAGGGGATCTACACATGCCAATTAACATTATTGTAAAGTTTCATTAACTTTGGAGCATATTGATTTTTTGAACATTTTTGCTGTTTCCATGGTAACGGTGGCCATTTTGAAAATGCCATACCCCGATTGCAAATCTGCATATGCTGGTTAACATTATTGTATAGTTCCATTAACATTGGTTTACAAAATTCCGAGATATAAGCTGGACAAAAAAAGTGGAAGAAAAAAAATAACTAGATTTGTAATTGCTAGCAATAACGGATGGCACCCTTCCCCCATTGCCAGGTGAGCGGCAGCCATTTTGAAAATTCCAAAGTCAAAGAGTGCATCTGCATTAACATTTTTGTAAAGTTTCATCAATTTTGGAGCATTTTGAAATTTTAACATTTTTTGTTATTTCCATGGTAACGGGTAAAATTCCCAAAATTCCATAAACAGGTGCCACTTTGGGACATGCCATGTTACATTTCCATTAAGTTTTATAAGGTTTGATCTAATATTCTTCCAGAAAATGCATCTTCAATGTTTTTTCTCATAGGGTCAATGTTAAACTTTCGCCCTGTTTCCATGACAATGGCGGCCATTTTGGAACTTCCTAATATTGCATGCACATGTAGGGATACCAGGCAACCTTTCCATAAAGTTTCATCCAGTTAGGTCTTATAATGAAAGATTTAGAATTTGCATTTTTTTCACATTTTATCAGTTTCCATGGCAACGGCAGCCATCTTGGTGATGCCATATCCCGATTGCAAATCTGCACATGCTGGTTAACATTATGGTATAGTTCCATAACCATTGGTTCACACAGTTCCAAGATATAAGCTGGACAAAAATCGTGGAAGAAAAAGAAAAATGATAATAAGAAAAAAAAAACGTATAATAACAATATGTCACCCAACTCCGTTGAGGGTGCCATAATAGTAAGAAAAAAAAAGAAACGTAGAATAACAATATGTCACCCAAACTTCGTTGAGGGTGCCATAGAAATAATAAGAAGCAAACTGAGCAAAACCAATAAGTCTTTCCAAACTTCGTTTGGGAGACTTAATTACCCTCAAGATAATGATTGAATATTTACATTTAAGTTAGACATTTGGTTGAACCAGCTTTTCAAAATTGGTATTTTTTTTTTAATTTTTAAACATTTTGGCATCACTGAAGAGACATACTAGTTGATAAAATGTGCAGTAAAATTGCTATTGTTGCATTCGTGTTTTAAGTAGTATTTATTATTTCGAGTGTATAAGTTTGTTTTAAATAATTAACCTACAGAAGAAGTATCCCAGTTTTTCGAATTATCGCTGAAGTAGTAACATGATGTACTGTGATGAATCCAGCCACTTTTACACTGGCAAACAACATTCTGGAAACCCGCTACAATTAAAGTCAATATTGTTTATCTTCTTAGTTGTATATAAAAGTAAAATTTAAAAGTGAAGAGCCAGCATCTACGGTTGTATTCAAAAATTTGTTGATAATTCTTTCCAACAACTAATTTTCTATATGAAATACGAATGAATATTACTTTGGTTCTAATCTTGACGTTGTTTTTTAACCTATAATTTACTTTTTATCAAAGATTTAAATTCTTATCGGTGCGACAAAACTCATTTGAAAGCCTGTCCCATAATATAACCCTGGATTACCCGAACAAGTGCATAGTGCACAAACTTCTATTTATTAAGAAAACGTGTTTACACAATTTTTGCTGCTGATTCCCAATTATTTTAACATTCACTATTATGTCTACTAGGGTTGTTCAACCAATTTTGTCTATATAAAGGAACTATAAATAACTGACATACAAGAGGGAGATTAAGTTAGCTATAAAACTAGGTTTTACCCACCATTTTCTACGGGACATTCCTGTACCAAGTGAGGAATATGACAGTTGTTTTCCACTCGTTCCCTTGATTGATAACGTTCGATTTTTTTGTCAGCTTTTATGGACTTCCCTGTTTTGAAATTACCTTGAGATTTCGGTATTTTTGTTATTCTTTTTCAATAAAACAATAAGTTATTGTTGTAGAACGACACCTTTGACAAAATCGGGGGAAAAAGAGATAATCAGAGTCCTGAAAATAAAACACAAAATATTTTTCATAGATAACTATAAATTAGCACATTTACACGTCTATTGAAATTGATGACTTTCGTAGAGTCTCGTTTTTTTACAAGTTTCAGTATATGCACCCAAGTAAACAAACTCTGATAGAAAACGGTCATTCGATCTGAACAGTGTTTAAAAGAGTAAACAATAAATTATTAAGTCGACTTTTATGCGGTATATTAAGTACTGGTCAGACGATTCGCTTGCAGTCAATTCAGATATGTACATGCTATGTTTAATAGTTTGAAAAGTACTAAATTTATTGCTGTGGATAAGTCTGAAATTTACTGAAAGACTGGAGATGACTTCATAATATAATGTTCATTAAATCACCGATTGTGAACAGAATAACAAATTAGAATTTAAAAACCTTGTTTTTAGAAAATAGCTCTTATTATGTGCTAACAGAAAATAAAAGAATATCAAGGGGTCACTGAAATTGTTTTCTTGTTACAGAACAAAAAAGGTTAATTTACTGTACATTCCTTCAACAAAATAGATGTTCCTATGTTTTACCACTATTATTAAGTTGTGGAAAAATTATATCAACCAAAAAAAAAAAGTTCTTTATTAGTCAAATCAGTCGTAAATCATACCAAATAATTGTCTTTATTTAAATGAAAAGAATTATAAATGAATGCATGTCTCTCTAAAAAGATCTGAGTCTTTTGTTTTTTTGCTTTTTTTCACTATCCAAGATGGTAAAAGACACTCGAACTACCTTTGACATAATTGAAATTTCGTCAATACTTTCAATAGAAAAAAATGGACAAGGCACATCTAATGTTTAATTATCAAATTTCAAAACTATTTCAGGTTTTGACTTTTTCAACTTTGTAGTGTTCCGATATAAAATAAGGATTATTTATTTGTAATATTTATAATCTACCCAAACAATAAAAAATATATTTTTTTCTATTCTATGTTTCAAGAATATTGATTTTAGATGAAAACTGCAATTATTTCAACAACGTTCAATCCTTTTCAGTGTAAATTCATGTCGTTACAGGGCCAAACAAGATAATGTCATGTGTTTATCTACGCAGCATGTACATAAACTTACACAAACGCTAATAGATAAAACATTGGCAATTAGGAGTCTGGATATTTCGGTTTTATTTCGTCAAACTGGTTGCGCAATATTGTCAGATTTAAAAAAAAAATAAACAAGGAAAACCATATAGGATAAAAAGAATACTAAACAATAGAACTTAAAAAAAAACATGGATAGATAATTCTTAAAATCTTGTTTTCAGAAAATAAAAGGACAAATTTGGGTCACTAGACTCTTGTTCATGCTACCAAATTAAAATAGGTAAACTCCATACACATTCTTTCATAAACGCAGCGCTATTTAAGTTATTTCCCAGTAGTATGACAAAGTTGAATAAAATTGAATCATACCACAAAATTTGTATATTTCAATAAAGGATGTAGACCTATAGTGTTCTGCTATTTTACAATTCCAGACGGCGAGATACCCCCGATCTACATTAAAGGCTTGATATGACGTTGTCATGTAATTTTATTACATGGATACATAATTATTATGCTTATATATTTAGATCGCTCACGATAAAAACTTTATAGATCATTCGAAGGCTCGGTTAAGAATATGTTTAATCTGTTAAGAATTGAAAATAAAAATGAAAATAATCTCCATTGCAGCTGTTCGATAGTTATAATCAACCGTTTTTAGTTTCAAAGATATTGAAATATTGTAAATCGGGTCTTTAGATTGCCTACCAATACATATGTGAGAACGAAAAAACAAATGGAATATTTAGCCGGAAGTTTCACATTCTGGTCTATTTTATATCAGATATTTGACCGTGGTGAAAGGCTTAATAAAGTTAAATTCTGTAATAAAAATGACAGTTTATTAGTCTTATTTAAATAATATAAAAGTAAAGAAATGTTATATCTAAAATGTCTTTATTAGTGATTGATATATTGATTGTTGGTGTTTGAACTCCACTATCAACACTCTTGACTAAATCATAGTAGTCAGTTTCTAATTTAATGAAGAAGTCGTAACACCTTAGAGAACCACAGACCTTCGGCATCTTAATGTGCGATAATATAAACTAATTAACCACCTGTATTGACGGATATTATATATTTTGTAAAATATGCCGCTGTGTTATGTTCTCTTTTGTCGCTATGTTTTTTCTACTTAAATATTAACATGATTAACTTAAAGCCGGAAATAATCTATGTTTAAAAAAAACCCGACTGTTAAATGATTCATTTCGATGATCAATAATTCCTCTATAAGAAACATTAAGGTATCATATATTGCATTTAGTAGCATGGTAAACATATAATTAATTGTGCTTACTGTAAAAATTAAACATAATCTATCAAATTAGATAAGTAAAACAACGTGACATACCAAATAAACATATCAAAATGTAATACAACATGTCTTGATACAATGCCTTAGAAATATGAATATATGATCATGATGCGTGCTTCTTCACATTTATATTTCTTATCATGCTTATATAGACACGTTCTTGTAAACCTTTGACTGATAGCGCAAATCGAAGTATTACATGAGATAATATTTGTGAAAAGATAATAGAAATATGAACTTTGTAAGATATTTTAAATATTTTGGATATTTATGGTACTTAATTGTCTGAAAAACTACTAAACAATACTGACATGACTGCAAGCAATTGTCTGAACAGTACTGAATTTACCGAAACGACTGCCAAAAGATTGAAAGACTGAACACGACATAATAATTTATTGTTCAGACTTTTCAGCAGATGTCAAGACTAAACATCATATTCTGGTAAGTTATGCCCTCGGAATAGAAACAACTCAAAAATGCATCTGTAATTACAACATCGTACAAGGTCAATTACGGAATTGACAAAAAAGAATATTAAGTAGTAGATATTTTCAAAGCTTTTTTTTTTAGAATAAGATGAACAAATATATACATTATTATAAAACATGTTCCTGAGGTTAAATGGTATACTGAAAACTGGCATATAAATTTTGATTTCAGGTGATCTTTTTTTTTAAATATCTCGTGTGCTATGTTAAAGTTTTAGTTTCTGATTTCGGGTTTTATCAGATGTAATTTATTGAAGGAAAATTTACTCTGAATAATTACTTTTTGCATACACACACAAACAAGGTTCTCATATTGGATGTGAGAAATTAGTAAAATATAAACAACTGGATAATGCAAGGAATTTTTAGGACTCCTGGACTGAGTTTCTCAAAGCGTTGGGTAAATTTATCCGGTGGATAAACAGGTTATGCAGTGGTTAAGTTTTAGCCACTGGTTAATTATTATTGCTCAAAATGTATCCATTGGTTAAACATCATTATCCACTGGATAAATTTAGCCAACTAAAATCAACCGGCTAACTGTTTGTCCATTGAATAAAAACAAAAATGGCTGCAAGGTTAATTTAAAATGTTGGCAGACTACACGACAAGCAAAGAGTTTATCGCCATTTAGATTTAGAGTATGATGACAGGGAGTTAAGAGATGGATTTAGGTTTTACGAAAGAGTGTGTGGAATACATAAAAAAAACCTATTTAGCCAGACTTATGCAGACCAACATTAAGGTCGTATGCTGTACCTGCAGTAATCCAAGTTCAGTTGGCTTTGAGGTATTTCGCAACTGATAGCCAAAAGAAAGCTGTTGGTGATACAATAGGATACCATATATCTAGTGTGTCTAGGGCAGTCAGAGATGTTTTCAGCAACATTCCTAGCAATGACATAAAATGGCCTTCCACTGGCGAGAAGAAAAACAGAAACAAAGAGGGGTTTTACGAGGTAGCATAGTTTCCTGGTGGCAATTGATGGCACGCATATAAAAATCCAATCACCACCCGGTGGAAATAAATATGCTTATGTCAATAGAAAAGGGGTCCATTCCATCAATGTTCAAGCTGTTTGTGATAATACAGGTTATTTGTGTTTTTTTTATACAATTGATAGTTGGTTGGGCTCTATAGTAACAATTTATTCCTCATTACTGAACTAGAAGAAAGAGAATATGCTAGTTTAATCCAAAAAAAAAATGTCTTTTCCATGTACCCATACTGTACTCCAAAACACAGTTTTTACATGAAGTAAGCAATGCACCGCATGAAGAAAACATCAAATCAGCTTATAATTAAGTTGTTGTAAAAATGAGATAAGCAATTCTGATGAAAAAACGTCTATAAAAAGAACCTGAATCTCATTTTGAAAGAAAAAAATGGAGGCAAGGCAGCAAACTAAAAAGAACAAGTTTACAGCACATTCATTTTTTAATTCAATCTGAACTCTGTATTCCGAAAAAACTGATTATTTGCGTGAGTTTTCTAAGTCAGAGGACCATATCTCTGCCAAATCATCTTACGAACCGAACAAAATTCAAACTTGATCTGTAACTTGTTTACCAAATATCAAAACAATATCTGTAAGCATAACAAAAAGAAAGTGCGAAAAAAAACTTATAACTTGCATGAATTTTGGAAGTCCAAGGTTATTAACTGTGCAAAAAATAGCTAGACCGGTACAAAATTCGAACTTGATCTGCAACTGGTCAGATTAAAAAAAATTATATAAATTATACCAAACATCAAATCAATATCTTATAGCACGAAGAAAAAGGGTGGAAAACGGACTTGCCAGCCTGACGACTGTACAGACAGACGGACGGAGTACAAACCTATAGTCCACTACGACTAAAGAACAGTTATCATTATCCATATTTCTAGTAGAGGACAAACATAAATGCACTGATATTAATTTATTGAATGTTCTGTGTTACTATAGAATATAACACTGTTCACTTCTAAATACTACATTCTTACTGACAAATAATTGCTAACATTTCCCAACTAGGAGCCCAACCTTCCACAATATGAAAATTAGGATAAGCACTATGGGTATTAACATGAAAGTTTTAGGGACCCAACCCAAATTTCAGTAGCATTGGCTACTGGGCCCCTGCTAATCTTTTTCCCTGAGCGTTAATGGAAAGAACATCATCAATATATCTCTATGTGAAATTTACGTCCGTGTATTCCTGAACTGCATCCATTTTCTTTTAAAAATCTATGACCGCGACGTCACACGCAGTTTTAATCTAATGTCACTCTTCCTACGGCATTTTTGACGATGGGTTTACCGAATTAAGAATCTATAATAGCCAAAATAAATAATGATTAGAGAAAATTAACCAGAAAAAAAAGAATGAAGAGAAACGGTTTCTAAAGAATACAGAATAACTGTCGAAAATAAAAGAATTTAGTATCAAAATACTGATTACAGACATAAAAGACATACAGAATATATAAATCATCTTTTACAGAAAACTATTATACTAGTAAACTCATTTACTGTCATACAAGTGTGAGGTTTTAGTTAGCTATAAAACCAGGTTTAATCAACCGTTTTCTACATCAGAAAATGCCTGTACCAAGTCAGGAATATGACAGTTGTTAACTGTTCGTTTGATGTGTTAGAGCTTGTGGTTTTGCCATTTGATTTATAGGGACTTTCCGTTTTGAATTTGATTCGGTATTTTTGTCATGAGAATTTTACAGAATAATCGAAATTTTAAAGACAAAGAAAAATGCCCTTACAATTTAAAGGATATCGAAATCGAGGAACCCTCATCTAGACCGTCATTTCAGATTTCTTGAATATACATGTATGTTATTATATTTTAGATTTGTTTTTAAAACCTTTGCTGTCAAATTCTAATTAGGGATGTTCCTATCGTGTCAATATCTCATTTAAATACAGGGAATTCAAACGCAAAACCAGGATGATCTGAGTGGTTTGTTCTTTTTGTATTATTGTTAGCCCATTTCAATCTGGAATATGTGATTCATAGTTTCGTGAATTTGATTCACACATTTTTATGTAACGTCACAGTACCCAAATTGCACCGAGTACCCAAATTGCACCTATTCAACTAAAATAGCTGCGGAAATTTTGCAAGTTTTCTTTGAGACTAAATTGGTAATTGTATGATTTTACATTATACACGTCTTTCATTATAGGTAAATATATTCAATATACACAAAACGTTCACAGTATATATCAACAGATGACGCATTCACTGGAAAAAGTAAAATATACGGAAACGTCGCCATGCGACTTTCACAAAAAGTCATCTTTTAAAAACGAGCAAATGAAATATATTACAAGCATCCATTTCTGAAAGAATGAATAGTAAGCATGGACTAATGTCAAATTGTTCTAAATATTTGAAAAGATGAAACAAAACATCAGTTATTCGATTTTTTGTGAATATGAATTTAAGCATGGATTCAATTTGGTTACTCCTCATTACAGTTTCATAGATCGTTTGGCGGTCGGCTCAAGCTCATTTTTCTATGATTCAGTATGGATTCAAAATTAAATTGGTGTAACTATATAGTAAATAAGGATACGTCTACAAAATAAACACAAAATGGAAACTTTAGTCTGGATCATCAAAAAACGTAGGTGACAAAACTGTCAAAATAGGTGCAATTTGGGTACCCTCACGATATATGTCCTAAACTGTTTATCTTTGTGCTAGTATCATCTTATGTAGTTACAGCATTTTGAACAACGTCTGTTTCCCTCTCTTAATACTCTTCTGACGAGTTTTTCTCTTGCTTTGTCTCGCCAATAACGTCCTGACTATGTTGAGTATTAATGACGTTGCAACTGTAATAGGAGTATGTTTTGTGGTAATTTGTATTCCAATCGTATTTTTCCTCTTTATAATTCGACAAACAAGAAAGGATCAGTTCAAGCTTAATAATTTACTAACTCAATTATTTCCTTGATTATTGTTTCATATGACAACATATTTTCCGAAGTGGTAGACGTTAATTGTTACCAAAGTTGAAGCTAGTTGTCAGATTTCAAGGATGTCGTCAGTCACTGACACCATTATCCTGGCAACCCCGCAGACACGTGCTAACTGTCAGGGCGGACCCGATCAGGCTGTAAATACAACGTTAAGAAATGGAAATTTAAATAGATGAGGACAGTACGTTGTACGACGGGCATGAATCGTCAACCAATACTACACAAGACTTGTTCCCTTTAGTAGAACAATTTTTTCCCGCCGTCTATATTTTTCCATTTGGCCGTTATGGAGAAAATTGATACAGTATACAAAAAGTCATATTTATAATAATTACACCTTATATAAGAATGCTGGATTTTGATTGGTTGGTAGCCAGTGTATTTTTCGCATATTCTAACCTTATATGCAAGTATAAAATAGTCTCGACATAATATTGAACTGATGTAGTTGTATATTATATAAATTGACAAAATTTCATGAAGAGGTGGAGGATTTGGAATTTCTTTTTCATCAATATTTTAAAATTGTAGCTGTTTTTTAATTTAGTATTGCAAACGACGCTTTCTGTTTGTTAAATTAGTTTTACTTTCTAAATTAGCTGGGTGTTCATATTGTATTCCCAGTTTCCTGCATCTCATATATAT